TTTTTGACTTATAAATAGTTGTCTCAGTTTGTAAATTTGAGGGAAAAAACGTAAATTCAAAAAATGAGTTTACGTTGGTTTTTAAACAAAAATTTAAAAATTTTACTAACAAATTTTTTTTCCAATTAATTTTTTTTTTTCAATTAATACTAACCGAGGGGGCAATTGGTAATGTTATTTTAAACCTTAGGAAGGGGATTGTAATTTCTAAAATGTGAGGGGTGTCAATGTAATTTACCCAATGAGGACAAAATTGGTATTTAAAAAAATTGAATTGCTGATGGGCAGAATCTGTAATGAAACTTTAAACTTCAGGGGAGAGATGTAATTTCCAAAAGGTGAGAGGGAAACTGTAATAAACCTAAACCTCAGGGGGTGTCAATGTAATTTACCCTTTTTTTTCATACAGAAAAAAAATATAACAAATGCAATATATCTTCAATCAATTATTTTATATTTGTTTTTATTCAAAATTTAAAAATAATGTACCGGAAAATTTATAACTAATTAAAGAAAATTTTATTCCTAGCGATATTTTTTTACTTCTATATAAATACTTAAAATAATAAACTTGAAAAAAGTAGTCAATATGAATATTATACATTAAGTAAAAAAATGTGGTTAGCAATTATGCTTACATAAATTTATTATAGTTTTAATTTCAAATTAAAAAAAAATTATTTTAAAAACATTTTATATAACTAGTACCAAAAAGAATTTTTAAGCAAAAATGAAAGTTATAAAAAAAATTTACAAAATTTTAAATGTCTATTGTTAAACATTTTATTCTATTTACTTGTTTGTTTGTTTGCTTGCTTTTGGAGTTTTAATATTTGATCTTTGCTCCGCATTTATCGTATTGTTTTATTTATTTTTCTTCTTCTTTCTTGATTTTCGAACGATACTTCTTTCATCGTGCATCTTCGAGTGTATTAATAAAAATATTATACACTTAAAATGCACAAAATTACAATATATAGAAAAAAAATAAGTGATTGCCCGAAACTAAAACTACTTTAAGAAAAAATAAAAAATAAAAACAAAGATGAAATTGTTTGAAATATAAAATGATTTATTTATTTATTTATTAATTTTTAAAAATAAACTTTTAATGAAACGCACAGTGTAATTTTTTCTCTCTCTATTTTTTTTTTTTGCAATTCCAACCTGTTATTTTTTAATAAGAATTTATATTTGTTTTAGATATTTTTTTAATATACAAATTATTTTTTATAGTGTAATTTTTTTTTGTTTTTGTTTTTGTTTTTTTTGCAATTGTAACGTATTATTTTTTTAATAAGAATTTATATTTGTTTTAGATATTTTTTTAATATATAAATTATTTTTTAGATTTACTGAAATGCACTGTGTAATTTTTTTTCTCGCAATTGTAATCTGCTCTTTTTTAATAAGAATTTATGTTTGTTTTAGATATTTTTTTAATACACAAATCATTTTTTTTTAGATTTTAATTAAATGCATAGTGTAATTTTTTTTTTCTTTTTTATAAAAATAATTTAATAATCTTATCACTAACTATAGCGTATAAAAGAAGTTAAAAATGGTGTGGTAGTAGGTATGGGAGAAGTCAAAAAGGTTTGTTGGTTGGGAGAAGTCAATAAATGTTGATTTTTTTTTAAATCAACAAATTAAAAAATTAAGATTGAAATATTGGAGCTTCCACAAGGCTTTTAGGTTAGAAACCCTCTTTTCCTTATATAAACGAGAGAAGTCAAAAAGGTTTGTGAGTTGAGAGAAGTCAATAAATGTTGATTTTTTTTTTTAAATCAACAAATTAAAAAATTAATATTGAAATATTAGAACTTCCACAAGGCTTTAGGGTTAGAAACCCTATTTTCCTTATATAATATATAGATATATAGATTTGATTGTCATGTTGGAGCTCATCCTACTATGGTTCATGGGTCTTGTATTGATAATTTAAATATTTTATTTTATAGGGTCATTCATGTATATCATATATGAAAACAATTAGATCAATTCAATAATCGTAATATTTTCATTTTATGATATTTATCTATAAAAAAAATAATAATTAAAAATATACTTGTCATCGATTTTCTTAGAAACAGATATGATAAAATAAAAATGTAATTCTTATCATATTGATCTAATTTCTTTTATAGATGATAAATACATACGAATCATTGAAATAAACTCATAGTAATCCCACAAATTTAAACGTAATAGTAAAATTCAAATTTAAACATGAAATAAGCTCAACCCTAAGCCTTCGTTTGGGATATGAGTTGACTTTTTGATTAGTTTATCCTGGGGCTTAAAAGCCTCGTTTGGGATGAATTTTTTAATTTTTTTTTTTTTTACTTTTGTGAGAAAAAAAATGAATTGATTATGATTTTGATGTAATATTTTGTCTCATTAGTTTTTTAACATATTTTATCTTTTTGTGACTAAAATACTCAAAAAAACTAATAAGACAAAAAGTCACAAAAAGACAAAATAGACTAAAAAACAATAAAATAAAATGTCAAATCCAAACTATAATCATTTCATTTTTTCTTTCTAAAAGTCGAAAAAGTCAAAAAGTTCATCTCAAACAAAATTTTTTAACCCCAAGTTAAAATGGCTAAAAAGCAAAATCACATCCCAAATGAAGGCAATGTATTACAAAAAAAATAAAAATAAAAATAAAAATCCTAAGGTTTGACCTTTATCACAAATTAAACTGATTTTTTTTTATTTTATCAATTTAAATTATAAATTTTTTATTTGTTTTCAATCTAAATCATTTGCCTAAATAAAAAAGTCAACTGAAAAAATGATATTTTAGTTATTGAACTCAATAAAAAAGAATATTTTAAACATTTATGTATACTTACATTGAATTTAATAACTAAAATATTATTTTTTCTATCAATTTTATTTGACAAAAACCTGCGAATAGTTTATGTTAAAAACAAATCAAAAGATTAGGGTTAAAAATTCTGAGTTTATTTTGTTATAAGGCTCAAACTTAAATTTTTTTTTTTAATTATCCCAAATTATTTATTTCTTGAGAATAAGAATGAAACCCACATTATGCCTTCATTTGGAATGTGTGTTGCTTTTTTAACTTTTTGACTATTTTACTCTGGGGCTAAAAAGTCTTATTTAGGATGAAATTTTTGACTTTTGTAAGAGAAAAAATAAAATGATTATGATTTGGATGTGATATTTTATCTTATTGATTTTTTAACCTATTTTTATCTTTTTCTGACTATTTTAACCTAAAAAATTTATGCCAAACATAGCCATTGTTTTGCCATTTTTTTATTTATTATTTTTTATTTTTTTAAATTAGGCTTGTATGATTTGAAAGGTATTTTACAACAAACTTTGAGATAGACTTGAAGATAGGTTACCCCACAAAGTAATTCATCTTGCGCAATATCAACTCTCAACACTTTTTTGCATTTTTATTTTTAATTGTCTAAACTGTCAATTTTTTTTGTACATATTATTCAAGAATTTTTTTTTTCAATCTATCACGGTTCACGTGTATGCACATGTCCCATGGCCACTAGTGCCACGCCCACGTACACCACTCACATTCACACCCATGTAGCCCCGCCCTTGAAAATACACATGAACCCACACCTAGATGATACCTAAATGTCATATTTATGAATTGATATATTAATTAATATATTAATAAATAATTTGACATCATTTTAAAAAATTTAGGTATTTATAATTTATATAATAAGTAGAATTAATAATAATGTTATAAGACATGTTGGTACACTAATTAATATATTAATTGATGCATGTAACATCACTAATAATATATTTTTGATTTTTATTTTTATTTTTTAAATATTTTTTTTTCCTTCTCATATGCCTAATATTATTGTTTTATCCATGATTTAGTTTGCGACAAGTTACTGGAGCCGCCATTTATGACTTTTGTATGACATTAACAGCAACCAAAAAAAGCAACCAAAAAAATCCTCAAAGCTTAATTGGTGTATAGAAAAATTTGTCTCCAGGTCAGTCTAGCTGCCATTTATGACTTTGTATGATACTAACAGCTACAAAAAAAAATTCATAGTTTAATAGGTATATACAAAAATTTGTCTCCTTTGGGGAGTCGGTTTATGGCTTTTTTTAGGCTAAAATACAAAATAGAGGCTTCATTTGGGATGTGAATTGGCTACTATTTTAGTTTGAGGTTAAAAAGTCTCGTTTGAGATAGACATTTTGACTTTTTTAACTTTTGTGAGAGAAAAAATAAAATGATTATGGTTTAAATGTAACATTTTATTTTATTAACTTTTTAACCTATTTTGACTTTTTGTGACTAAAATAGTCAAAAAGTTGACTTTTTGGTATGCCAATTAAAGAAAAATAAGTTAAAATAGTTAATAAGACAAAATGTTGCATTAAATTCATAATCATTTCACTTTTTCCTTTCACAAATATCACATCCAACTATAAAAAAATCTAATCATCTTTCTAAACATAAAAATTTTAACCATCCAAAATAATCAACTTTCCAAACGAGACCATTATCTATAAAATTTTACTAAAGAACTCTTGATATGAGTGGGCTGGGGTTGGCTTTTTTAGCTTTTTCAGTTAATGTGTTTAGTAGATTTTTTTTTTTGAAGGTAAACTATTAATAGGTCATAATAATTTGATTTAATTTTTATAAAATTTTATTGAAAATAAGTCTTAATAAAATCGTCGCTAAAAATAATTTTTTGTGATTATTTTTTGCATATGTCGCTAAAAATTGCCAATTAGTGATTTTTTTTTACAATTTTTATAAATTGTCACTAAAACTAACAATTAGTGATATCTTTCAGTGACATTTTTTAAACTATTGCTGAAAGTTAAAAATTAGTAACTTTTTTTATGACGATTTCTTTAAACTATTGTAAGTTATAATTGGTGAAATTTTTTGCGACAAAAATTTTAAACTGTCACTGAAAATTAACAATTAGTAACATTCATTTAATAATGTTAGATGAAAAATGCCATTAATTATCATAGAACTTATTAAACAATAAATCCACCTATTAGGATTTATACATAAGTTCCCTATTTTTTTAGCCTATTGGCAAACAATTGGAACCAGTGCCTTGGCATCACCAAAGAATGAGTTGTTGGTTTTGAATCTCTTTCCTCCTTGCAGTACCATGAACATGAACTCAAGCTCTCTCCTTGACAATCAATTACGGACTTAACGTGATAGCAAAATTTACAGTAGCAATGGAAAATATAGAAACTAGCATCTAACATATCTTCCTTATGGTTTCACTATTTAACAGGAGAAGGATGATGATTGATAAGGAATGGGAATCAAGTGAAGATCATTTTTTCTTCTTACAGTCAAAGCAAACACCTCAGTCATGTCTAGCTCTTCTGGCTTCATTCCACCGGGGAGTTTCCAATCGAAATGGTACAACAATTGCGCGAGTGGAAGTTCAATATTAGGAATAGCAAATGCTATGCCTGGACATATCCTTCTCCCAGCTCCGAACGGTATATATTCGAAACATGTCCCCTTGAAATCAAGTGTGCTGTTTAAAAATCTCTCTGGTTCAAATTTCTCTGCTTTATTCCAGTATCTTGGATCTCTACCAATTGCCCATGCATTAACGATGATTTTGGTCTTGACAGGTATTTTGTATCCATTAATCGTGCATTGCTCGTTGGATTCTCTTGGAAGTAACAGCGTAGCAGAAGGATGTAGCCTCAATGTTTCTTTAATTACTGAGTTTAAGTATTTCAATTCATGAATGCAAGTTTCATCAACATTTTTTTTCCCATCAAAGACATGCCTTACTTCGGCTTGTGCCCTTTTCATCACTTCTGGGTTTTTTTGCATTTCTGACATTGCCCACTCTACGGCTTCTGATGATGTCTCGCTTCCAGCACTGAAAATATCCTGAAATGGGGTTGATGGTATTCATAATAGGTTCCTATTACTGTCAATAATTCTTAAAGTAGTTATCCATCTTCATGCCTATAAATCTTTTGAAGCTCTGCATAGGAATCCGGATCCTCTGCCATACTTTCCTGCCATGCCCCAAAACGACGTCGTTTTGGGGCAAAATTTCAAAAAAAAAATAAAACAAAACAAAACCGGAGAAGGGGAAGAAGAAAGAAGACAAGAACGACGAAGAGGCGTCTGCTGGGTTCTGTTGGGTTCAACAAACATCAAAATTTTGCAGATCCAGATGACGATGATGAACAAAATTTTGCACTTTTTTTTTTCTTTTCTTCTTCGTTCTTTCTTTCTCTCTCTGCTCGTATTGGAGAAGCTCACTCTCCTTCTTTGATTTTGATGCACATAATAGGAGAGAGAGAAAGAGTGAGAGAGAGAGAGAGAGAGATTGGGACTTGGGAGGAGTAGTGTACAAGTTTTACACACAACATTCATTCATTCAAACCCCCAAAAAGAAACACAAGGGACTTGGGATCTTTTCTGCATTTGGGTATTTTTCTCTCTAAAATTGACCAAAGGAGAGAAAAACCAGGTGGGCATTCCTTTCAATCCTTGTTCCACTGAACCCTATGATGTATATGCATTTCTCAAAATTTTCTTGGGTTTCTTGTAATTGATGAGTAGGATTTAGCAACAAAGCTTGGTTTTCTTTTTACTTTTCATCTTCAATTGCAAAAACTCTCATTTCTCAGAATTTTAATATGTGTATCATCCATGGAGTTTCCCCATCTGGGTTATGATGCATCTGTGTAAATTTTTGTTTATGTGTTAATACATATTTAGATAAAGATGATCAAGGGGTTTTCCCATTTGGGATTTTGGGTATTACAGAGGATCTTCACATTTTTTATTATATTTTTTAGCCTATGATTTGTAATATATATATATATATATATATATATTGTAGATTTGTATGGATATAAA